TCCTACATAGCTCCAAAAGGCACATTGATCTATACATTAATATAATAGTGTGACATATGACTCTATATATGATTGAAATGTATTGAGGGTTATCAAAGTTTGAAACTTGACATGCAAATTTTCCAATGCTTAGGCCGGTAGTAAATAATTAAGTTGGGTTGCAAATTAAGGATTATTCTTTTGTGCTGTGGGAGAGGTGGATTGTATTATTTTTATTAAGCATGTAAAACTCAAGATTTAATATATAATTTAGTGTATAACTCAAGATTCATGTAAAACTATAAATACTCTAATGCCAAATAGAACAAAGGTTTTTTTTCTTCTCAATATTTTTATGTTGCTTATAACATAGAACTACCCATTCCATTTAATTCATGGTTCTTGTGGTTTTAGTATTGGGAGGTCCATAATAGTGTTGAGAATAACAATCAGTCAATATTTTAGAGTTAAAAAACTTTGTATTTATGTTTAAATCACATTTTTTTATATATTTAGTTTTTTTTTATTTAGAGTTAATATTTTTCAAAAAAGTTAGAAGCATCAATAAAACTAATGCTTTAAGACTATAAGAGAGTGAGACACCGCATTTCAATCCAAAACTTTAAAGAGTTAGATAAATGAGTCATCTCTCTTATAAATTTAATATACCACCCATTCATAGGTAATATGAGACTTTAACCATTCACACTTTCACAAATATTCTTCCCACAAGTGTGAGTCCCCCACATCATATGATAGAATCCAGCTCTCGTTCCCCAACAAAGTCGAATCACGACTCTGATTCCACTGTTGTAAAGTTCGAGAGAGTCGGAGTACCAATTGGACTAATGCTCCAAGACCATAAGAGATGGAGATACCACATCTCATCCCAAAATCTTAGATCTGTTTGATTCAAATGAGTGGGAGGGGAGGGAAATGGTTTTAATGAAGGGAATGGTAGGGGAGGAAATTTTTTAAATTGTATATATGTTCGGTTCAAAAGATGGAAGAGGAGGGAAAGGAAGATATTTTAATTAAAAATATATTTGATTCACAAAAAGAGGGAAATTTTTTTATTAATAATTTATATTTTTATTCTTTTGATCTTATATAAATCATATCATATTGAAAAAACAGAAAATTCATAAATTATTTTTGATAATAACATATACATAAATAATTAAACTTAAAATTTATATTTTTAAGTGATTAAAAAAATTATAATTTATAGTATAATATTAAAAAAATTAAATACACTTGATTTACAATATAATTCTCCGTCACATATTAAACTGTGTTCTAATAACAATTTTTAGATTATGACGAACCATCTAGTAAAAAATACACAAAATAACTTTTATATATATATATATATATATATATATATATATATATATATATATATATATATATATATATATATATATATATATATATATATATATATATATATATATATATATATATATATATATATATATATATATATATATATATATATATATATATATATATATATATATATATATATATATATATATAATGCAATAGACAAAAATATAAAATAAATGGTTTAAAATTTGATATGAAAATATGTAATAGAATAACAAAATTAGAAGAAAAAAAATAAACCTAATATTTCACTCATTCATAGGCAATGTGAGACTTTAACCAATCACACTTGTACTCAATAAATATCGGACTTAACTCACACTCAAACCAAACAATATCTCTTTTAAATATGAAACAAAACTCTGATATTACTTGTTAATGCGCCATAGGAGTTTTGAGAGTAACAACAAATCAATACTTTAATATCATAAAACTTAAAGTATTAGTAATATAAGTCACCCCTCTTGTATATCTAACATTTTCCATATTTGTAGTCGATGTGAAATTTAGTACTCATATATTATTGAAAAAATGGACATAGAGAGAATAAAGAACACAATCATAATACAAGTAAAATAACACGGAAATTTACAACCAACTTTTTCCTTAAATAACTCAAAAATCCTAGTACATTCATGTAAAACAAATATTTAACACATTTTATAAATAATGAATAAGAAAAGACAAAGTCATATACTAATATTAAAGAGCTGAATTTTTTACAAATGTGCCACTAGTTGAAAACTAATACACCAAACTGCCACATATTAGAAAGAAAATGCAGAAGTGCCACTAGTTGAGGGAGGGTTCGTCCAACCATTGGACGACCCATTGAAATGAGTTTCTACGCAGCATGGGTTCGGCCATCCATTGGCCGACCCTTAACTAGTTGTTTTTTTTTGTTTTTTTATTTTTAATTTCAGAAATTATGATATATTATATTTTATAATTTAAAATTTTCAATAGTTTTTTATATATTAAAATTATTAATATTAATAATATATATTTCACTTTATCTAATTAATTGTTAAATATAAATAATTATATAAAATAATTAATTAAATCATAAAAAAAGAAAATATTATTAATATTTAAGAGTGAAAAATATACATCATTTTTAGACGGACCGATTTAAAAATAAACACTCTTAAAATAATTTAATAATTTTAAATAATTTTTTAATATTATTAAATATATTTTACATTATGTAAATAATTTTTTATATACGTGTGGGATTTGTCGAGAAATCGGTCATATGCGGAGGAAATGTCCGAAAATTATAATATCATTAAATAATTTTAATATATAAAAAACTATTAAAAACATTAAATTATAAAATATAATATATCATAATTTCTAAAATTAAAAATAAAAAAACAAAAAAAAAACAGCTAGTTAAGGGTCGGCCAATGAATGGCCGAACCCATGCTGCGTAGAAAGTCATTTCAATGGGTCGTCCAATGGTTGGACGAACCCTCCCTCAACTAGTGGCACTTCTGCATTTTCTTTCTAATATATGGCAATTTAGTGTATTAGTTTTCAACTAGTGGCACATTTGTAAAAAAATCTTAAAGAGCTTCTAAATAATGCATATTGTAACAAAGAATTAGAGCTCATATATATAATAGTTCTCTCCATGTTCTTTTGCAATACAAAAAATGTGAAACTTTTTCTAACATTTCTCATTTCAATGAAACATCAACAATCTCCATGCTAATTGAAAATAATGGACATGTAGATCCTACTTAACAATTTGGAAAATACTTCACTTGAATCTAAATATTTCCAAAAATTTCACATTATATTCATCGAAAATATGAAGTACTACCTAGGTTCATAAATATAAGATTATTAAAGCAAATTATAGAAATTAAGAAAATTAGTTGAAATATTAAATTTGTTAACTATTTGTATACTTTTATGAGTTTATCCTAAAGAGAGAGAATACATTTATATAAGAATATTTAGTAAAGATTGTGGAAAAAATGCCACATTATTAAAGGCATGTGGGTAAAATGTATTTTGAAATTTGAAGAGCTTCTTATAAATAGGAAAAAAAGTTCAAAAGAGTCTTATATTTAGAGATAAAGGCAGATACATGATCATATTATGAATTTCTGTAAGTTAAATCACTTAAAAATTTTAAATAATTTTCATTAAAAGTTATAAATTAAAAGAGTTATCATACACACTATAAAAATATATATTTTACTTGAAGTTAAATTAACTTAAAAAACTTTTGCATACCAAAAAAACAGATTAAAAATTTATAGTTTAACTTTTAACTTTCGTGTGCGAAGAAGTTCTTTAACCATTAACATAATCTCACCATACACCTTAAATCAATGTTTGTGTAGTAATCAACACATTGTATAATTTTAATTATATCAATATATCTTTAACTTAAATTTTACACTACAAATTTCTCAAACTCAAACTTCACAATGGAATTTGTGATTGCCAATGTATTTGTAACTCAAGTGTGCTAGAGAGGTTTCTAGAAAAGAAAGATGATGTCACAATGGCCTCACTTAATAATGACTATTGAGATTGAATTTCACAATCCATTATGCATGATTCTACTCAGCTCAAATTATTAGTCTTTATAATAAAGAAAAGAAAATACACAACCTAGTTAACAATTTTTTCTTCAAGTTGTATAAAGAAGATTTAAAACACCATGTAGCATATTATAATTATTCTTATGCGTGCATAGTCATGGAAATTAGTGAGAAGGTCAATGGTTGACAACAAGTGTATGGACCGCAAACTTGACAGAGTAATTAAGTTCTAACTTACACCATTGACAAATATTCATTCAATCACTTTATTTTCTTGCCTCAACCAACTCTATACCTTTTCAACTTTAACTGCATATACCAATATGTCATGTCTTCTCATCATTACCAAATTTCAATTATTTAGTATTTTGTCCCAAAAAAATAGTTATATTCATAATAGTATTCTAAGTAATCATAATTTTAAATTGTAGTATATAGGAAAAGAGAAAAGAATAAACTTCTACGACACGGTGAATCAATTAATGTAAAAATCTCAGATGAACGAGATGCTTAAACTTAGTGTCTAACGGTTATTCAAATAATTATTTTTCGTAGAAGGTACTATGAATATATGTGGTCTATAATTATAATTACGAGTGCAATATAAAATTAGACGAAATCTCTTACGGAAGAATTTTTCAATCTATTATAATATTTTATGACTTGATAGGTTAGCCTATGCAGCTGTACACAAGGACTATTTGTTCATATTAAAAAATTTGAATGACAAAATTCAGCTTTCTTTGCCTACTCAACCTCATCAATGACTTAGATTTGGAGATCATATAATTAATTTAACAATAAAATAATTTTAAAAATCCTATAAAATTAGCTTAGCAAATGGTGTTGACATTTGAGGGTCATGGCTGGCTACATAATGAGAACTATATGAACTTTGGGATCGGTGATTTTCTATTTCTTTATTCCATGTCTAGCTCATGAGAGTTTATTGGTTTATAAAAGGGTTATATGGCTCTGTCAATAAATAGATAAATAATAATGTGTTTATATATAAAGAGGTTAATTATGTGAGATTGTACTATTGAGAAATAATAAGCCATTTCAAAAATGTCTAGTTCTAGTTGTTCAGAGATAGAAGAGAAGAGAGTTACTTCAATTTTCCATGAAGATGATTTCTCTTCTCAACAAGAAGTTTCAAAGGTATTTCAATCCTAATTTATTTTCTTCTTTTGTAATATCTATGTATTGTTCATCAATAATTTTCTTTGCATTATTGAATTTTTCTTTACTTTGATTCTTTGTCATGTATTAGGATTATGATCATGTAGTTTGAATTTCATATATTCATCAACAAAAGAAGATATAGCGGATTATTATGACTCTGAATTTATTTTAGTTATCAAGACAAGATAAATAAAACAAATTCAGTCGCGAACAAAACTTATACCAGCTATAGAAAGTGTTGGCAACTATTTTTAATATGTTTTGTCTTTGTTTATATTTTTTTCATACCATTGTGATTTTGAAATATAGGAAGATAAACTAAAATATGCTAAAACCGAGATGGGTGAGGTGAAAGAAGAAAACGAAAGATTGAAGACGATGCTATCACGAGTTGAAAAAGACTACAATACTCTTCAACTTCGTTTCTTTGACATCGTTAACAAAGAGGTTTCTAACAACGGAGTAGAAGAATCATCCGATTCACATGAAGAAAATGATGAAGAACCCGAGTTCGTGTCACTTTGTCTTGGAAGAAGTCCAAATGAGTATAAGAAAGAAGCAACAAAAATTGATCAAAATTCAAACAAGCCTAAAGAACAAGAAGATATGGAAGTTAACCTTAGTCTTGGATTAGATTCTAAATATATGTTGTCAATGGAGTTAGTATCTGATTTGACTCCAATGAATAGCTCAGAAGAATTACCAAAGGATGTTGAAGTTGAGGAAAAAGGAACATTATTTTCAACAAATAAATCAACAAAGGTTATAAATGTAAATGATGAAGTTTCAGATCAAATGCCTACTAAGAGAGTTAGGGTATCTGTTAGAGCTAAATGTGATACTCCAACGGTTAGTATCAATTAATAGTTACATTACAAATTTACCATATATTATATTAAGAGATTTTTTTTTTTGTCAAAAAATTGTGGTGTGCCTATAAAATAGATGAATGATGGATGCCAATGGAGAAAATATGGACAAAAGATAGCAAAAGGAAATCCATGTCCAAGAGCATACTATCGTTGCACAGTCGCACCAGCATGTCCAGTTAGGAAACAGGTATCTATACATATGAAACACCGACAAAAACACGGACATCAGACACGACACTGACACGTCAACAACACCGACATAAACATGGACATCAGACACGACACTGACATGTCAACACTTTGAAAATTTGAATAAAATAAATGTAATCGCATGTGTTGGTGTTGTGTCGGTGTCAGACATTAAAGTGTGTTGGTCATCAGACACGACTTTGTTCAAAGGTGTCTATACTATAGTAAAACTGATCTGTCGGAGAGAAAAACGATAACGATTTTTATTGAGACCGAAAGCATATTACCTTATTTATATTCTTGTATATGATTTCAGGTCCAAAGATGTGCCGATGACATGTCAATCTTAATCACAACATATGAAGGAACACACAACCATCCTCTTCAAGTAACAGCATCGGCCATGGCATACACTACTTCAGCTGCAGCTTCAATGATGTTATCAGGTTCATCAACATCATCATCATCATCACATCATCAAAATCTTCATCATCACAACAATTCAACATCTTTTGGAAACTCACCAACACTACTCAACAATGGTCTCAATTTCAATCATCACCAATTCGAACAATCGCGAACACCAAAACAACATTTCTTCATTCCACCAAACCATTCCTCACATAATAGTTTGTTCCCAACAATCACTTTAGACCTAACTTCACCTTCATCCTTATCATCCTCATCATCCTCATCACCAAACATAGCTCCAATTCCAAGATTTTCTCCGAATAATCTCAATTTCTGTTCCACACAACAACCCAATTTCACACCATCATCAACCATATGGAACAACAACAACAAATTAGGGTTAGGGTTTATCAACAATAACACAATAATGCCTATTGAGAAAACTCAAATTAGGCCTTTCAACAATTTCCAAGAAAATTTCTACCAAAAGTGTGTGACAAATTATCAAACACCTTCAAGGCAAGCTTTGGCAGACACAATAAGCAAAGCAATTAGCACTGATCCAAGTCTTCATTCAGTCATAGCTGCTGCAGTTACATCAATTGTAGGCCAAGGATCAAACAATAGTGTGAATCAAAAGGAAGTTAAAGAGAATGGTTTAGGGTTGAATTTGAAGCTTGGTGAGTATCCTCAATTGGGTTCAAACAATTTGTTGAATCAAAATGGTAAAGGATGCTTAAAGGGTTCATATTTCAAAAGGTTGTCACCAACAACAAGTTCACAAGCCAAGAATTTCATGCTTCTTCAACCTTCATTGCCATTTTCTGTTTCTAAGAGTAGTGCTAGCAAATCTTCATCCATTGTTAATCATATCAATCATTGTGATTCAAATGTGAACACACATCATTAGCTAATTCTCTACTTTAAAAAATTAGTTATTTCTTGTAACTTTTCCTTTCGAAATGAAATTTGGATCTTCTACCGTTGTTGTATAGTGATAATTAATATACACTATACAAAAACGGTAGAGAATTCAATTTCCTCAAATGTAGTTTTAAGCTTTTGGATTCCACTACCTCATTATAAACACTCATAAAATATAATCAACATCCTTTTCGTTCTCAATTTTCCTAACCATTGTTATGTGTAACTCATTAGCTTGTGTTAGTTACTTGTATAAGAAATAAATTACTATGATGGTTAGAAAATTAGTTAAGTTTGTTATAAAAGTTTGTTAAGTGGTTAAAATACTCAGAGGATCAAAAACAACAGAATCTTCAAATGACAAGGTTTAAATTTGAATTTTTTTATAAATAAGCAAATTTTACTGTTTAGGTTCATCAAATAAATAATATATTTAGAATATATATAAACTAGATATATAAATTATTAAATGAATTTAAAAAATAAAAGTTACTTATAAAAAATAATGGATGGAGTATGTTGTTAAGATAACTTATATTATAAATAATCATCTTATTTACAATGTGTATCTATAACATTCACTTGGTTTCATTATTTTCTAATGTAAAGCTTTCTCTATTATTCGTTAATTGTTCATCAATCCATTCCTTTACCTTTACCTTTTGAGCAATTAAGATATTAATATAATTTTTTTAAGTTAATAAACCAAATACGAAATGAACAAGAATATTAACAAAAAAATAATAATAAACACTATTAAAAAAATGAATTAAGTATTTAAATCATGGAAAAATACAATATACTAGTTTTCCATGAAAGCAGCAAAGTAAATTGCTTTCACTATTCCTTCTTATGAGAGTAATAGGTTACAAAACCTAAATATAGGAAACAATGAAGTTATTAATTACCAATATCTAATGAGCAATTTTATTTGAATGCCTTCTATGAAACCTTCAATAGTTCATGGAATGCTTCTTGTGGTATATCAACGGAACCGACACGTTTCATTCGCTTTTTCCCTTCCTTTTGCTTCTCCAAAAGCTTCCTCTTTCGTGTTATATCACCGCCGTAACATTTGGCAAGAACATTTTTTCTCATTGCTGTAATGCTGCAATAAATATGGAGGATTTCAGCATAGCATGGCAAAACAGAAGAGTTATGAGCAAGGCAAGTTAATGACTTATTTAATAATCTCAAATCTGATCAAGATTATTTATGTATATTTACGTCTCTCTTGCTATAATTTTTGACCCGATGGCGGCTTGAACGGAAATCTCGAACATTTGCCTGATAAAAAATTCAGATGATTTTTTAGATGAGTTTAAACTCATGAAGGGATGTGAAAATAAAAGAATAATTTCTTGACCCAAATTACCTGTCTATGACTTTCTTCAATTTCTCGACCAATTCACGTCCAACACGATATGCTTTCGAGTTATGAACAATGGTTGCCATTGCATCAACTGGTTGTCCATTCAAGAGAATATCAAGTTTCACCAGATCAGATGCCTGATAACTGTAATCTCACCACCATCGAGTTATGAACAATGATCACGCAAGCGGATATAAAGAAAGGGAAAAGGATGAGGGTTACTTACTCTGAGTCTTCATAATCAAATGATGCATAGCCTGATGTTATACTCTTCAATTCGTTATAAAAGTCAATAACGATTTCCCTCAAAGGAAGACGATACTTCATGAAAACTCGTTGACTGCACGAGAAAAACAATTAAGGGGTCATTGTTTTGACCAGAGATCAAGGTTGTCAATTTTGATTTTTGAGAGACCAAGTAAAAGTTGTGAAAGATTTTGTAGACTGAACTCATAAGCTTACCTGTCAATGAAGGAGTACTCTAACTGTTCACCCCTACGCTCGGAGACAAGGGTGATAACAGCTCCAACATACCTTAGATCAAAAAATTAATTAAGATGATAAATATCAGCTCTGAAAGACGCAAATAAATTACTCTTTTGTTCGGGGTTGTGCAAGAGCTTACTCACTAGGAATAACTATAGTAGCTATTACTGTGGGTTCCCAACAGGCTACCACTCGTTGCTTGGGATTAGACGGTAATGCGGCGGGATTTTGAACTTCTAATTTGCTGAACAAAAAACATAGACTATTAGTAAACGCCAATGAACCTAGCCAGATAAAAACAACTTTGTGAATCTACCTTCCATCAGCATACTCGTATATATAAGGCACAGTAGGAACGGTTGAGATAATATGGGCTCCATATTCCTGTTTACACAAACATGCCCTTGATGAAACACGGACACAGACACCGGACACCGATAATAATTTGAAAAAATGAATATATTAAAGTTCCACATTGGAGGAGATGTTACCTGTTCAAGCCTTTGATGAAAAACGTCCATGTGCAGAAGGCCTAAAAATCCACACCTGATTGAATATAAAAAAGAAACATTAAAAATCCATTCCTTATGAAGTTAACTGTGTTTCAAAATTTGAATAAACCATATTAGCACCATTCTATAAGAAATTGATACCAGACCTGAACCCTAGACCTAGAGCAGTGCTAGTTTCTTTGGCGACAGAGACACTGGCATCATTGCAAGTAAGCTTCTCTATTGCATGGTTGAGTAGTTCAAAATCAGATCCGTCCGCTGGAAAAAGACCGGAAAAAACCATATGTTTTGCTGCTTTGAAGCCTACAATTTAAAATTATTAAATTATTAAGAATTAAAGAAAATGTTAACAAACCGATTTTCAAAAAAAGGAGGTAAAAGACCCACTTTACCTGGAAGAGGTTCTATATCCACAGTGCTTCGTGAATGGTAAATTGTATCTCCAATACGCGCCTCTTTGGTTGACCGCATGCCACTTATAACATAACCGACTTGTCCAGTAAACAAGATTCCGGTAGGAGTAAGTTCAGGATGCATGATGCCGATATCCAAAGCTTCATATGATTTACCAGTGGCCGCCGAAGAAATCTTATCTCCCTTGCGGAGGGCACCATCAACGACAGCAACATGGCATATCACCCCTCTGTATTCATCAAAATACGAATCAAGTAAAAGCATACGTAAAGAAGAATCACTCTTCCCAGGAGGCGGAGGTATACGCTCTATGACTGCTGGAAGAACATGTTCAAGACCCATCCCAGTTTTGGCCGATGTAAGCAATGCATCGCTTGGGTCAAGATCAAACATTGATTTCAATTGCGATTTAACACGCTCAGGATCAGCAGTTGGCTGATCTATCTTGTTTATGACTGGTATAATTGATAAGTTAGATTCAAAGGCAAGGTAAAAGTTAGCAACGGTCTGTGCTTGAACTCCTTGAGCTGCATCAACAACCAAAAGCACACCTTGACAAGCAGCTAGTGACCTTGACACTTCATAACTGAAATCTACATGTCCAGGAGTGTCGATAAGATTCAACAAATAGTTAGGTGATTCCTTTCCATCACTACAATCAACACCATTTATGACGTTCTTATAGAACATTGTTGCTGTCTGAGCTTTAACCGTGATCCCCCTTTCTCTCTCCACCTAGAACAAAGTTCAAACTTCACCAGTTAAGTAGCATATGACTTAAAAACCAAGAAACATAACAATATTGTTATGTCTGGTTATATGTTGTTAATCTCAGACAACTGTAGCACCGGCCACCTAAAATGCAATATAGCATTATTGCAGATAGCGGGAATGCCGCTATTGCAAAGACTAAAAACCAGTGTACAAACATAAATACCCTAAGAAAAGACAAGGTTTAAAAAAATGAATTTGAGGAAATTACCATTGAAATCCTAATAGGAGACACAATAGAGGTTTGGGGCCGCAATTAGTGTTGCGCTGAAACCTGCCACAGCTAGACTATTCCGCTAAAACTTTGACTAATTCGAATCAATGTCTAACTATATCCGACAGTTTTCATCGGCTATCCTATATAGCTAACGAAAATACGCTTGAAACAGTTTATGTAAATACCATAAGCTATTAGTATTTTCATAGGTTAAGCCAAAAATATTGTCATATAAATGCTTATGCCAATAAATATCCTCCAATAACCAATCCAAACAAACCCTATAACCTAATTGATACTTTAGACTGAATGTACAATACCAACCTGACACTAGCTCATATGTTTCATACAATCACTCTCAATATCACAAATTAGCGTTCAGTGTGCCTACATGTCAGTGTCAATGTTCGTGTTGCGCTTGGGATAAATTTTTGATCTTTTTTCTCTTCAAAACCAACACATTGTGTCATTCTATATCCTAGTTAAACCCAAAACACATACAATTTTGAACAATACCCATTTCATATAACATTACAACTAACCATACCCAGATGAAAAAATAGATAATTTATAACAAAACCTGCAATTTATCAAGATACTGAGGCTGACCAAGTCCTTTCTTAATAGTTCCAGTAAGTTCCAAAAGTCGATCAGCAAGAGTAGATTTTCCATGATCCACATGCGCAATGATTGAGAAATTTCTCACAAGCTCAGGAGGGTACTGACTCAAATCTATAACTGGTTTCTCTTTGGTGCTATTTTGACGTGATTGGGTACAGAAAAGTGCACGGGTTAAGGAAAATCGTTGATGGGTTATTCTACTTGTTAATGGGGTTAAATTGAAATTGAAATTGAATAGCAATGAAATGCAATTTGATTGGTTTAGGGCTTTTGAAGCTTTTCTTAGATAACCCATTTCAGGGTTTTTGAGGTTTTGGGTTAATGGAAGTGGGTTTTGTTGGACATTGATGAGAAGGTGAAAACCAGAGCTTGGTTTGCTTCACTTTGATACGACGTCGTTTTTGGTTTGCATGACAAAGATATAGATTGGGCTGGATCCCATGAGAATGTTGGGTTATTTTCAGAGAAATCACTATTTGCACCATTTGTTTACTATTCTTTTTCTTCTTTACCGGTAAACACTACATCTTATATAGTACTCCCAAACACTATGAAATTTTGAAAATATTCTTTGTTATTGTTATTGTCTTTATATTGAAATATGGATCAACCATAATATAACAAATCAACAAATCTCTTTATCATAAATGCACCCTTGTCCATGTAAAAAAAGTATGGATTTTAGAATTCGAATACATCTTTTAAATTTTGGAATGGTGGAGAAAAATCTGCATTATCTTTCACAAAAAACTTTAAACCTTTTTAAAATCTCATTGAATTCTTAATTTAGATATCCACTTGCAAAGAGTATTTTATTGTATTTTGACATCAAAATGTGCAAAAATATTTAAAATTACAAGGAATGTACATTTATATCATCGATAATTATATAGATAATTTATTTTATTTTATGCAACATAATCGTAGGGTCTAAAAATTGAAATTCATATTCTATAAAGGTTAGTCCCGATATTAAAATATGGATTCGTTGAATGGTAATTGAAATTGTCTTATATTTTTTTATTGGTTGTATATGGTACATCTCGATGTTGTCAACAAAGCTACTACATATAAGAATATCATAGCAGGTTAATGTTGAAAAATGATTTAAATATGCCTTTATATGTCATTAAAAACACCTTAAAATGTATCAACATTGGTATGTTAAATTTGTTTGCTTTAGCAAAATGAGACCTTCATTTGAATTTAGGGTAACAGAGGATAGCCCTCTTGCATATCTAAAGTCCAAATTGGAGAATCTCTTACACTACATAGACAGTCAAATAGTGTCTAACATCGAGTATCGTTCACCAACAATAAATAGTGAAGAAGAGATTAAGTTCAATAAATTTGAGTTAAAGACAAATGTAGATGTAAGAGTTATGTGGAGTATATTTCATTGTTACACAACTGAGGGTCCAACTGAGGTGAATGTGACACTTGCAAGATCAACCACAAATATTTCAAAGATGATAAAACGTCATGAACCATCTGTTGATAATGAAATGTATATATATATATATATATATATATATATATATATATATATATATATATATATATATATATATATATATATATATATATATATATATATATATATATATATATATATATATATATATATATATATATATATATATATATATATATATATATATATATATATATATATATATATATATATATTTGTTATGTATTATGTGTATGTGATAACAAAGATCTATGTTAAGTCAAATTATTTTAGATTCTCTGTCTAATATTGTTGGTGTATTTAGTGTATGTGATGACATGGGTGAATTTGAATTTCAAAATATAAATAAATCCATAAAACAAATTGCTTGTGTGTTATGTGTATGATAACATGGGTGAATCCGAGTTTCAATATTCAGACAAACCCCTAGTACAAGTTAATTATGTGTTATGTTTACATAATATCAAAAGGTGAATCTGAATTTTAATATTTGAATACACCCTTAAAGTAAAGTGGTGTTCAGTTCATGTGACAGCAAAGGATGAATCCATAATTCAATATATGGACATTTTTTATTTATATTTGGCTTGGCAGTTCTCTAGGGTGGGTGAGTAATGTATGGGGGTGCAATGAACAATCCCATAAAATAATACTAATAATCACTAAAAACTCATGCACACAATTGTGATATTTCTTATTCGAATTAAAATATTAGTGTTTAACCTAACACTATCATCTTATTTTATAGCTAGTTAACAACCTCACATTTGCATTGGTGAAATAAAGTGTGTTGATCTATGTCCTTGCAGGTATAACCATTACTTAGTTTTGATGACGAAGCAGTATTAAAAATGATAACCACATAAGTTAAATGACTTTTGGATACTGATAGTTCTTTGTGACAAGGGGTTGTTTTAAACTGTCAATTAAAGCTCTTAAAGATAACACCTGATCAAGAAGATATTTCAAGCCTCATTGGTAAGAAAATTCAAGAATCCAATTGAAGTGTTAATCAAGTTGAAGAATCAAGCAAGGGATCTTAAAGTATAAAAGAGAGAAAATGTGAAAGCCTGTTTGGTATTGTACTTAGTGTCATAGAGTGTTTAATTGTAAAAGGTCAATAGTAAGTCTTGCAGTACTAATGAAATCGCACACATATAGAAAAGTTTTTCAAACCCACTATTATTTTATAAAACTTCTTTAAAAACATATCAAGGAGTGCATGGAATTCATTAAGAAGTATTTCTAATCATTTAAGGAATTTTGCACGCTGTCTAATCGATTAAGGACTTGGTGCAATCAATTAGAGCAAGATAAATGACCTATTAATCGATTAGAAAAGCTAGTAATCAATTAATACATATAATCATTTTAGTGTTTCCTTTTTTGGACTAGGGTTATTGTATTTTGAATTCTTTTAACTAATTAACATCTAAGGTTAATCGATTAAATTAATTAATTGCTCATGGAATATTTTCTTTTTGAGTCAAAATTTTGTCTATATAAAGAAGACTCATTCTTATTTCATTTTACATTGAATTTCTGAAAAGAAAACTCTCTTTTTCTTCTAACATATTTGTTCTAAAATTGTTTCTTAAGATAAATGACATAATGCTAAAATTGAAAAAGTCTTTGTGAGAGTTTTGTTATAATCGGTGTTGCGCTTAATTTGCTTTATTCAAGACTGTGATTCTCTTGAGAAATTATTTTGTACAAGACTTAAAGGTTGCAAGATAAAAATTTGTTTTGTAGGTTCTTGAGCTTGAATCTTGTAAAAGCTTTGGTTATATATGTTCTTGAGCTTGACCTGTAAAATCTCTGTTTGAAGGTTTTTTTAGCTAATTGTCTAAAAGTTTTATCTATATGTTGTTGAAGGTTTGCGGACAAATCATGTAAAAATAACTCAAGTGTGTTTTTAGTGAAAATCTCGAGAAGAAACTCTATCTATTTTCTCTTTAAGTTTTTATTTATTTATGTTATATCTGATGCATATCTCTCTTCATCTTCGTCTTTTTTATTTATTATTGTTGCAATATCTCTTGTTGTTAATTAAATTAAATAAAATTGCTTTAAAGACCAAAGTTTTCATAAATTATTTTAATTTTCAAATAATAAATCTCGCCTTCATCATTTTGTGTTTGAAGTCACTTGACCAACAAGTGACATCAGAGGCTAACTCGTATTATAAGACTAATCTTCTTAAAAGGTAGTATGATGGCTCTAAATACTTATTCTTTTAATAAGAGATTTTTCATAAGTACACTTCCATTATTTGATTGTAAAAAGTTTATATATAAAAAGAGAGAATAAAAATAATTTTTCATTATAATGTTTGTGATTTATGAAATCATGTTGTATATGGTCCTTTTGTGGATCACAAAAGATATAAGAAAAGTTATACAAGGATTTCATGTTAATTACTTGATGACAAGTACGTTAAGCACTAGAGAGTTCTATTATATTTATAATTATAGTACAATTAAAGAAGTATAGGACACCTTTAAGGAAATATACGAAGTTCCAACTAAGATGAAAATGAAAAACACACTTATCCAATACATTGAGAAACTAAGTACAAGTGAAATATGATTATCAAATGTTGGAAATAATCTAAGCAATTATGCTTCTAATATAAATATCTTAAATACACTAACAAGTATCATAAACTCAATTCAACACTTGACTCCAATGGTATATAAGTTGTTAAGATTTTAAAGATATATCGACCAAAAAAGAAATCATCTAAAAACTTAAAGAATTGATTCATTTACTTAAAGTTGAAGATAAATATGAAGAATCAATATTAGAAACATCAGCACCTGAAACATCATAGGAAAGGATTGTAACTATATATGACAAAACAATTTTTTCTTTTTTGAATTTTTCGTGAAAATTGTAAACAATCTCATCTCTCGCTTTAAGGATTGAACCAGATATCTGAACTCTTTAAAATATATTATATTAGTCATTTTTTCTAATAAACTATGAAAACTATTAAGAGTCCTACATCAGATAATATATGGTCTTAACATGTGTTTATAAGTTGAGACATTCTTCACTTTACCAATTAGTTTTGTAGAATTGAGTTAGACCCAATCACATTTCTTAAAAACAAAAACAGTTAAATTTTCTCACTAATAAATTAAAATGACGAATGTGATTCTTTTGAACGGATAAGGGAATAAAATGAATCGCAAAGTTAACCATTTTTAAAATGAAACTTGTATTAACATTTCATTTTTAATATGTTCATTGGTAAATGACATGTCAATCACACTGGTCTGCATATAGTAAGATACAAATACTGTCACACATTAAGTTGAAGATGATACTATTATTGCACACCTCCCACAAAACTTACAGACTTAAGTAAATCATTGTCATACATTATGTATTTCACCTCTACACAATCTCACACACTTCAGTTTTATTTATACATCCATATAATTACTACTCTCTTAGTTATATTTTGTTACAGGAGGAAGAACATAAACTATTTAGACACAAAAGGCAAAGAGCGAGGTTCCACCGGTATAGTTAGAGAAAACTCCTAGAGAGACATTATATCCATGACCTGAATAAACACATCCATTGCTGATGGACATTCCTCCATACACACTACCTCCAGTTGCATAGGACCATAAGATTTTTCCATTTCTCGCGTTGATCGCATATATGTGTCCTGATAAATCAGTGGATCCACCAAATAGAACTTCATTTGCTACGCTAACAGGGCCGCTGACAGTACTATTTCCAGGGTTAGCAGTGGACCAAAGAATTTCTCCGTTTCTAGGATCCATTGCGACCCATCCTCCGGTGGTTGTATTCATGTTAGACGGCAAAAGTTGGAAATTATCCTTATTTGAATTTGCACTGTTGGTATAAACTCTTTTTTCATCAGTTGATGCGCCCCATATTCCACCTCCGCCCGTTCCACTAGGCCCCGCTTGCTGCAATTTTCGAGTTCATGTTTAATATTATTGTTGAAAGTTATAATTTTAGACTATAATAGAGAGTGTATGTTACCTTAAACCATATAAGGGTTCCGTTATCGCGATCCAATGCCCATGCAAATCCACTTTTCTGAACAGCAACAACGACATCTTTCTTTGTTCCGTTTACATATGTAGTTAACATCATTGGCGCCTCTCCAAAATCTGAATCTGGTAATGGACCTTGAGGCGGACAGTTAGGAGTTGAAGCGTTATTACATGCTATAAACCATACATCCAAGCCTCCTAACTGTTTGAACCATTTGATTTTTCCAGAGTCCAAATCAAGGGCCAGCATCGAATTGGAGTGGTTTTCTGGTTCGATACACTCGTCAGTTTCAACAGGAGTCGTTTGATTATTTTGTCTTTCTTGACAATCAAGTATGTTTTGTGGGGCTGAATAGAGATTTCCGGTGGCAATATAAACATGTTTTCGATAAACATCAATGGAAGGACTACTTCCCCAAATCGCGGCTCCTGCATATTGATCTCTTTTTCCTTTGTTATCTGGCAACATATAGGTTTGCCATAAGATAGCACCGGTTTTAGCATCAAGTTTTGCAAAGCTTCCGCGGAATGTACAACATTTATCAATTGCTACTTGTTCTTCTAGTGAAGATACCCCAACATAGTAACTCCTATACAAAAAGAGTTCAGCATAATTACAATTGAGGTCAATGAAAGGTAATTGAAAATATTCAAGTTGTAATATGGAAGATCAAGAAGAGTTAGAAGATACTAACCCATTGTAATATGTTCCAGACATGGTAACAAATGATCTATAATGATTCTCCAACTTTGTCAACCAAACAAGCTCACCATTTGTTCTATTAAGACCAGCAATAACAGCTGGTCCATAAATTCCAAGAATCAATAAATCTCCAGCCACACTTGGACTCACTCTAGAAACTGTCCCATTTGCATTAAAGATAAACACAGTTGCATTTAAGCCTGTCAACTCCTTCAAATTTTTCTTCCAAACAACTGACCCATCAATTTGTCTAATTGCATAAATGTTACCATTCCAGCTTGGAAAATAAACTACACCGTCATATATTGTCGGCGTCGCTGTAATATCTTGTCCTGCAAAGAATTTCCACTTCAGTTTCAGGCGTGGTGCTGTTATGGGATTAATCTTACGCTCCATGGATGCATATCTTCTGTTGGATAAATCTCCACCATGGCTTAGCCACTAGTTAACAAATAGCAGCAAGTTAGTTCATTAGATTATGAAATTTACATTTGTCAATCTCAAAAGACAAACACCAAGGAAGAATTGTATCTTACATTTGATTCTGAGCTTGAAGCAAAAGCTACTGCCACATGAACACAAAACAAGAGTAAACAAACAACAATATTGTTGACCCTTCTTGACATGTTGTTGAAGATGATGTAGGAATTATAATTAGCAAGATGAGTGATATGATAATAATATATACATATATATAAGAAAGAAAGATAACGCAGACATGTGAATTATGATTGAGAGAGATAGTTGAGATTTTATTGAGATAGTTGGGAATAAGTCTTAATTTTGCAGCGTTATCTTATGTCAACGCAATTGATTTCAACACCGAATGCCGTATCCACAAGATGTATGACATGCAATAACAAAACAATTTTTTAAACAAATTAATATATAATATTTACCTATAAAACTATAATAGTACAAAGAATTGAGAGAATGGAAAATGAAAAGGATGTTAATCCAAAACAAATCTAGTGGACAGAAAAGATACACTATCCAATTGAAAATTGCTTTGTGCACTCGGAAAAATGACCAATCTCTTTTGAATTTAGTGCTCGATCATTACTATCAGTCCTATTTTTAAGAAAAAAATATTTTAAATATTTTTTAATAAAGATAAATTATTGAATAAAAAATAAATAAAAAGGATGGGAAACATAAAACTTAATCCATCAATCAACTAGCAAAAATGATAATTGAATATTTTTAACCTATCTCTCAAAAAAATTTTAAAAACACAAATAAGAAGAGAATTCTACCGTCATGATAAAAAAACTATATTGGATAATCTATCTACATACGTATTTTTCTTTCTAAAAATGTAAGACATCTTAAATATAAAGAAACATACAACATACGCTATTACAAAAAACACATCTAACCTCGGACGCAAAATACATTTAACCTTGATTACAGATGCGAGATAACGAAGGCCATCATAAAAAGTGGTCATTTTACCCCCTTCAATTTATAAATAATCGAGAGGTAAAATTATATGCACATGAGTTCGATTCTCAACATCTAAATTTTTAATTATTTTCAGAACTAGATGACGCGCCCAATAGTAACTCTTGGTGTTGTATAGAACCAAGGTAATATCTTTATGTTATTACCTCGGTGATGATTCTTTGTATACCCTTTAAAAATATTCATGTAACGCTCTACCTAATTCATCTAGCGTAAATAAACCATATCACAAATTCTAATCTTCCTTACTAAATGAACAACTAAGTGAACCATAATTTCAAAGAATGATGGATGACAAAAATATCTCTAATTAGCACAAAATAATTGTAGCTTCATGTTCTGAGACGTCTAAATTTTCAAGATCAATAACTTTACTACATATAACATTGAACAATAAACATAATCTGGTTATAGTTACCCTTACATTTCTTGGTAAAATGCCACGAATATCCACTAGTAGAAGTTGTTGCATCAAGACACGACAATCATGATATTTTAAGTCAATTAAGTTGAGATTATTCATTGGCACAAGTTTCGTCATATTTGATGAGTACCATTGGGGAACTTTGATACCCTGCAAACATTCACAAAAACTTTTTCGTTTTCTTTTTTAGACAGAGTGTGACATGCTAGGGGCAAATAAGTTCTATTTCGTATTTCTTTTGGGGTTAACTCTTGTCGTATACCCATCATAGTCATACCTTTGCAGAATTTCTTAGTATCTTTTGTTTTGTCTTTAATGTTGAGAAGTGTTCTAATCAAACTATCACATACATTTTTCTCCACATGCATCACATCAAGACAATGTCTTACATCAAGACTACATCAATTTAGAAAATCAAAGAACACCGACCTTTTTTTCCAAATATTTTTCTCCACATAACTTTTTTTTTCTTTTCAAAGACAACATTAATGTGTTGTTGTCTTTTATAAACTTTCCTCCTAGTTAAGTTTATAAAAGGCAAACTCCTGCTCTCCATTAAAAGCCTTTGTCAATCTACGGTATGGATGATTAGGTCTTAGAAATTTTTGATGCCCAAGATAAAATTTTTTTTATTCCTTTTTGCAATTGGTGGTGACATGTATCAACTTCACATATAGGACACGCTTTATGTCCTTTCATGTTGCACCCAGACAAATTACCGTAAGTAGGAAAGTCATTGATTGTGCAAAACAACATGACACATAACTTAAAGTTAGCACCTGTATACAAATCATCAACACCAACACCTTCCTCCTACAAAATTCTTAAAAATCTTCAATCAATGGTGTTAAATTAACATCTATTTTGTTCCCTAGTTGTCTTGAACCTGAAATCATCATTGATAGCATCATATACTTGCACTTCTTGCACAACCATGGAGATAAGTTGTAAATTATGAGAATAATTTATCTAAGACCTGCATCCTATATAAGTTGCAATCATTACGACATGGATGTATTTTGACATAGTCCAAACCCATTGCACACAATATCTTCTTAGCCTCATAACTACGGTTCGACAACGTGTTACCTTTGGGAAGTATTTCTTTCAACAATTCAAGCAATTCAGTGACATTTTTATCCGTCCACCCATCTCTTGCCTTAAGATTAAATACTCTTAACACACTTGACATTCTTGTAAAACTTTTAAATCCCCGATACAATGAATCTTCCACGCCTTTTTGTCACTTCACCATGCCATACCCATTTAGTGTAATTTTGAATAATTCCATCACAACCACAATGATTGAATATAACATCCCTTGAATGTTTTTTTTCTTCGTATTAAAGCACTTTTTACAAGGACACCAAAAAATCTCATTATTTTTAGGAAGGTTTTTTCCAGCCAAATCAAGAAATCGTATCAATCCATTCTCATACTCTTTATTTAATCTATTGGTTTTCATCCAACTATGATCCATAATCACATAAAGCTTTTGAAAATAAAATAAAATAATTACACAACCAACAAAACAGTAAACAACAAGACAGTCTCAAAATAATAATAATACCGACGACAACAACAACAAGAACAACAACAACACCAGTAATGGAGAACTTATGCATACCGGAAATGTGATGAGAGACTTGTAGAGAAAAATGTTGGTTCGAGTTTCCTTCCTCCTTAGAGAAGAATTGTGCTCTTTCGTTCGTTAGGGCTCAAAAAGTAAATGAGTTAGACTTAACATTAACTTTGAGGGAATAAATAATTTAGAGAGTTTTTATCTCGGTTTATTTAAAAATCGAGGTATAATATCCGACGTAAAATCTATAAAAAAATAAAGGCACATATTTCGGTTCCAAAAAGAATTAAAAATTAGAGAGTTTTTATCTCAGTTTACTTAAAAAACCGAGGTATAATATCCGATGTAAAATATATAAAAAATAAAAGCGCCTTTTTGGTTCTAAATAAAACATAAAATTGGAGGAGTTGGAAATCGAATCTCAAACCCTGAGAAACTTTTTATGTTGGTTTTTGTAAACACCAAGGGAAAAGATTATTTTTTTTTATAAATAAAACATGACGCTCTGAGGACCTATACCCTCAGTTGTTTATTGTTCGAGGTGTAAGCTTCATCATAAAAAACGTTATTTGTAGTAGTGATACAGTGTGTAAAATATTCTTCCATTTAAATAAAAGATGCCAATGGACAATATTCACATTTTAAAAAAAGTACAAATGACTAGAATTGAGTTAGTTTCAAACCAAATATGGTGAGAAATTCAAGTTCTGGAATATGAGCATTGATGGCATGAGTGACTTGAATGGTCATTTCCATGCTACATATGTTGTTGAAAATGCCAAAACTATGGGCGCCCATTCAAGATCTGAGTACTTATCTCATTAGAGGTGTTGTTCTGAGGCGAACGATTCATTCGACCAACATGCATATGAGTTAATGCTTGAGCTTTTTAGGGTGAAGGAAGCTCTTGTGCTCACCTCTGCTAATGTAAATATTTTATAGCTTGAAAAAGAATTGAAATCACCCCAAGATGACCATGACTCTTTCCAAGTATCTAAAGAGTAGATGGAGGCCGATTATAAGGCACATTGTGAGAAACTTTCTCAATCTAAGCAGGAGATAAGTTTAAAGACTTACTCCAAATCTTAACCGTCGATTTTCATCAATCTATCGGCTTTAATTGATTATTTATATATTTTTAAAAATAATTAAATTAAACGATCAACTAAAATTATTCGATTAATGAAAATAAATAGTTAAGTTACAATAAATTTTTTGAACTTAAAAATAAATATATATTTTAGAATAAAAAAAATGACAAATGACAAATTTTTTGTTGTGCATCTCTAATCAACAATACAATAATAATTTTAGAGTTTAAAAATTTCTAATGAATAATCTCAATACAATAATAACTTTAGAGTTTGAAAATTTACAGTTAATAAATGACAAATTTCTTGTAATGCATTTCCGATCAACACAAGTTTACATGTTTATATGATTCATTCAAAGGCATCAATATAAAATGTGTATTTTCCACTAGTTTCCCACTACACATCCTAATGATCCTATCTATAATAGTATAATTATAGTAAAAAGAAGGAAAAAAACGAAAGAGATTAATGGAATTAATGTCTAACAAATTCAAAATCAACAAAATCGGCAACAAAACAAAATGTTTCTGCCGTTTCTAGCAAGGCGTTTAATTGATTATTATAGTTTTTTAATTTTAAATATTGTTATCTTTAAAATGCAAATACTTCAAAAACAAATATTTCTTATGCAAAGTCATCATTTATAAAATTGGTGTGATGTTGTTATTCACACTTCTAGAAAGCTTAAATAGATCTTGGAATATTTTATGTGCAATTGTTTCAACAATAGGCTTGTCGGTGGCTCTAAATTTCCATTTTCTTTTTCCGGAACACTACGGCACTCTAAATTTTATTGGATAAGATATTTAACATTTAATTACTTATAATATTATATTATTTTTTATAGATAAAATGACTGCTTGTGCTAACCCTAAAACATAGCTAGATAGAAATAAACTGAAGATTAAGATAACTCAAAAAAAAAAAAATACTCAAAAAAAAAATGAATTACTGTAAATTGGTGAAGGTGAAAAGGTTGTAGGATACATGTTCAAGATTCACAATCTTGTTCATATGATGAAGAGTTGAGGTGAAACAATGTCTGACAGGATGATCATTGAG